GGCTGTACTTTATTCAATTTAGTATGCAATTTTCAAGTGATTCACTTTGAGAATTATGGGAAGCTTTTGGAAAGGGATTTGGATGTTGCACAGTACATTGAGGAACACATTCGTCTAACACATTATCTGTCCAAGATAAGCCATAGGTTCCGAATATTTTTCGTTCTTGAGCTCCTGGTTGTGACAGCTAGCCAGGCTGTGGCTTTATTTCAAACTACATGGCATAGTGAAATTATCAATCTCGTCAACGGTGGTGATTTTGTGGTGAGTGAAGAACAATTTGTCGTTTCTTTTTCCTATTTGATTTACAGTAGATCTGGTAAGGAACACCTTGTTCAATTCTACATTCCACCTACTGCAGAAACTTGAGTTTCTTTCTTAGATTGTGATTTTGCTATGTTTTGCAGATCTCGTCCATAGTTGAGCTTGTTGGGTTAATAATTTCCCTGCAAGCTGCTGCGAAAATCACACATAGAGCTCAAGGCACTGGATCGGTTGCTGCTAAATGGCATTCTTTTGTTACATGCGCCTATGATGACACTTCTCAAGTGGAAATAGGCACTAACAGTGGAAGCTCGGAGGCTGCCAATCCAAGCAACTTGTTACACATAAATTATTCAGAAAGTGATTTGGAGGCAGTTGACTATGTGCCAGTGCCAACCACTAACCAGTTGGCTTCATACATGTCCTCATATCACAAGAGACAATCGTTTGGTATGTATCTAAATCACTAACAGTGTTCTTCACTAAAATTGTCATCTCTTTGTAATTGTAGCTGCTAATGAAAATGCATTCCATATTAGTTATTAATCAGTCTGTCCTAATCCCAATTTTTTGGAGATCGACCCCCATCCTAAGCTTTCAGCATGCAACTTGTAGACTCATCAAACTACAGGACTTCATTGCATTTACAAGCAAAGAATCTCTTACAGTGTAAGATAGGTTCAACACCAACAAGGCCAAATTGGGCATATCAAAGTTAATAGAAATTAATTTTATCACGCGCGCAAATCCCTTTTTGACGCCATGCTCTCCTACTCCCTATCAAATCTCTAATGCCATCATGAACTTTCCCTGGTCCAACCATGTTTTTTTTCCCCGCAGCAGTCTCTAAACCACGTCATTATTTGGCGCATATTATCCTCACAACACAGAAAAGCTCCCATGGATGATACCTATGAAACATACTTGAACTGATAGTAAACAGGAATAGTAGGGAGCGCATCCAATTCTGCAGTTAAACATCAAGTGCAGATGTGGGTGGCTTTGGCAAGGGACAACAATTGTAATACTTGTGCTAGTATTTAGATAGCTTGGACAGATTCATTTTTCTAACAGGACATTTCTGGCAACTGCTAAAGAAAACAAGTTCTGTTCCTGACTTGCATTCATATAATCAAGATCTGGAACATCGAAAGCAGATAAATGAATATCAATCTAATAAAACTATTATTTATTTAATTCTTATGGCTCTTATCATTTCTTCCTCCGCGTGCTTTTCCTTTGCAGTGATGTATTTGCAGTCCAATCCTGGTGGGTTTACTGTTTTTGGATGGAGAGTTGATCGGACACTCATCAACACCATCTTCTTTTTGGAGATTTCACTAGTTCTTTTTGTGCTGGGGAAGACCGTAACGCTCTATCATTCTTGATTCTGATATGTTGTTTGTGTAATGGCGTTAGATGCATCTCCCTGTTGGCAGCCTTGTTTTAACATTAGGTTGCTTGCTATAGCTGACAAATGGGGCGCCATGTTCATTTATTGATGTCATTTTTTTTTTTTCTTGTTCCGCCCTCCCTCTTAAGCATTGCTGAAAGAGATCGACGATTCAATCGCAACAAACCCCTCGCTGATGAGTGTCCAAATTTACAGGCAAGAAACATCAACTGTTGGTGGTGCAAACCCCGCACTAAACCATGTAATTTTGAACCGAAAACAATGAAAATTCACAGGAAATCTTATTATGATCAAGGGCAAGATGTTCTAAAGGAATATTATTAATCTTGAATTGAACAAAAATACAAATGTGTACGGAAATTGTTGCTATTGAGTAATTTACGAAAACTACTCTAGTAAAAAACCTAAACTGGTGGCAGTTTTATAATTATAAAAAAAATAAATCCACCATTTTTGTGTTTTAAAAACATTTGAAAATATTTATATTTTTTAATATTTTTAAATTATTTTAATATATCAATGTTAAAAATAATTTTTAAAAATTAAAAAAATTATTATTTTAATATATTTTTAAATAAAAAATATATTAAAAAATAACTATAATTATATTTTCAAACAAATAAAATATAAAACGAACTATGAGTCTTTTTAGAACCATCATCTCCTTTATAATGTTTTCCAGGGAATTCCCGTGCGATGTTCCCTAAGGCTTTCTGGGGTTTTTTAGCTTGATAAGTTACTTTTTTAAGTATCAAATGAGTATTATTTAAGTGTTTTAACCCAAAATGAATTGAAAAAAAAAGTTTTGACTTAATAAAACAAACCCATGATTTTCTAATTCCACTAAAAGTCAAGATTTGGCAAATGACACATCCTCTATCCAATCTTATTGGATGATATGTCATTTCCCCCTTCCAAAAATAAAAATAAAAATAAAAATAAAAGATCCTTCTTTATTTTCTAGGCATGCTGAGCCACACAAAAGTCCACACAACTAACATCTTTTATTTTATTTTTTGCACCGTCTATTACATCCTCTATTTAAAAAAAAAAAACCAATGACCCTTAAGTTTTGTTATAAATATTAATTTTTTTTTTTATTAAACTCGATAGCAAGTTGAATAATTAGATTAAGTTACAAACCTGAATCAATCAATCTTTTTTTAATTTTATATTTTAATTTTTAAAAAAACCACCTTAAATTGTATTTTTATCATCGTAATAAAAAAATTGAATAATTAAATTAAGTTACAAACCTGAATCAATCAATCTTTTTTTAATTTTATATTTTAATTTTTAAAAAAACCACCTTAAATTGTATTTTTATTATCGTAATAAAAAAATAAAATCCCAAAAGAGTTCACAAGTCAAGTCAATAAATGAAGTTCATGTCCATATTTTTAAAAAATAAATTGAATTGGTCTTATAAATGAGTCTTTTAAATTAATTTTTGCTATATGTTTCGTCTTGATTTTCATAAAATTATTTTTCACCTGCATGTTTTGGTTTCCATAGAATTAATTGGTTCCAATTTTATTTTTAAAAGGTTTTCAAATCACTAGATTTTTTTTTATTCCAGATTTCTAGAGCAGTAGGGCAGCAACCTGATCGCTACTGAACAGTGATCACAGGCTTAAACTCTTCAATTTGTTACTCCATTTTAAATCAGATCTCCAAACATCACTGATGATATGCTAACAACGAAAGATCATTAATATTTATGCGTGCGTAACAAGATACCACTAAAATATTCTGTCCATACATATGCCTTACTTATATGGGACTTGGATTTGACTCCTCTTGTCTATCCATAGACCTCAATGGACGTGTCATCATCAGTGAACATTCAGGATCAGAGAGTTCTTGCTCATCTACTTACTAGCTACGCAGGCAAAGAACCAAGAGTTCGCGTAATAGTTGATAAATGGCATTGCACATTTAGAAGATGTTGGTTTGGTTAATAGCAAAATCGTGTCCCAAGTTGCGTGTTAAATGAAAGTAAAATAACCATATTTTCCGAGGAAAATATACCTGTACGAACAAATTTTGGTGTTTTTCGGCTGTTTGCCATGACGTGACAGACCATTATTCCTGGCAGTGAGGGAGGTCAAGTTGAACTGAAAAATACCACCAACTAAACAATTATTCAATTTGGAAGGCACTAACATGCTGCTTGCTTACTCAAACAGCAGGCAATAACACTTTTGTTCACGAAAACATCTTCTATCTACTTGAATAGTATCATGACCTGAATTCACACACTGCTATAAATCCAGAGCCCGAAGAATTGTGAGAAAAACAAGAATCCAATAATTTATGAAGTAGAAAGTGGAAAGTAGGACACACATAGGCAATGGCAAAAGCACAGGTGAGAGGAAGAATCAAGGGAATTAGAAAGATTCCACCGTACCTGCATGTATTTTTGTGAAGAAAAGGAATCTAGGAACAAGAAATACATCCAGTTAAAATTGAACAGGCTCACAAGCAGAGGATGGAGATGTTAATGGAGTGAAAATAAAGGAGCAACCGGGTAACACTCAAAGCACATACCAGCCGAATATCTAACGAAAAGAACTTGAGAAACATGGCAGCTGTAGTAGCAAATTCTATAGCAGGCATCATTAAAAGGTGGCTGGTAACTCAGAAGTTTACAAGGATCAAATCAATAAAACGAGTAGACAAGCAAAACACGAATAAAAGAAACATTTTACCCATATGTTGTGATGTTGACATTGGTAAAAAACAAAAACCTTGTAGACCTATAACAACCAACACAACTACTAAAACATCAGTGAGGCACTGAGAAGTCTATGCACCACCATTTGTTCAATAAGGATTATATGAATCCCTAATGTTTCAAAAAGTACACTAAATTCACCAGTTACATGATAAATCTTTTTTGTCCGATCAAATGAGAACCAAATGCTACAGCAGCATATCATTACTTGTTTTTTTTCTTATACTAGCTAGAAAATGAATTGATAAACCCAAACGGAAAAACATAAAAAGGTTTCTTGTGTTGAATTTAATCAGCAGAGAGATGGCTATGAAATGTAAAGCAACCATACCAAATATATTATTGTCTTTTATGAGATTATAAAAGAGTCAACGTGACAGTAGAATCAACTGAATGTTGGGGAAAATTTTAATTTAGATCAAAACAAAAGATACCAGATTAGTTAATAGTAGATGTCAGGTACCTTCAGGCAGCCAGACAGATCAGAGCCCCAATCCATTTTCTTACACCAGTTATCTCTTGCAAACAAAGTGTGAATATTCAAGAAAATGAGTGAATAACAGTTTAACATTAAATGAAAATAAATGTAAAAATTAGATCTAATCACTTAACTGAGTTGAGAATATTTACGCACTCATTCAAAACTCAAGCTGATTCAAAGAGAACAAAATAATCAAAGACAAAGGAAAAAGGTCAATACTCAAGACCTTGTGGGTCAAAGAGGGTAGGGGATCATTATAAAGAAGGCTGTAAATCCCAGAGCATGATATGCACCAATACATGCCAGATAACACCTAGTACTGCCTTCATTCACTGCTCCTCCAGGAACCTAGGCATTTCATTATTCTTCGATCATGCCTAAGGAGTCAAAGTACAAGTTGAGAAAAAGCTACAAAACAAGAAGCACTATTCTGGGAAATAGTGAACAAAAGGCAAGAGGTTCAAGAAATTTTTCTCAGTTGTATATTTCTTCGAGTCATCCACTCTGATCAGCTATCTTTTCTTTGCATACTGAAGGGGAAAAGTAGGCATGGATTCTTTTGATTTTGGTAGAGGAACCTTATGAAACCAAGGATGATTAACCGCATCATCTGCTGTTATTCTCTGCATTAGCAATAAGCAAAACCAATTAGTATAACAATAATATATTTTAAAACCATGGGGCAGTAACAATAATATATTTTAAATCCCAGAGGATGATGTGCACTCCAATTACCTTCTCTAGGTCATAAGTTAGGAGTTTGTTTAACAAGTCAAATCCCGAGTCAGAGAGAACTGGAGATCCTATGAAAGGTGTGAAAGGAAACTTCTTTCGTAACTGATTATGCCTGGAAAAGAAAGCAGTATCTATAAGATGTCTGGGCTAATAGTTTTTGGATATTTTAGGGAAACAAAAAATAATAATAAACAGGATAGACAAAACAGATACTTATGGCTGCTTAACAAAATTTGCTTTTGCCCCCGGCAATTTTGATAGCCCAGGCCAAATTGTCTCATTTGGTGTTCCAAGAGTTTTGAAGATCTGCAATCATTTCTTTTTTTATTAAGAGGAGACTACAAAAATAGATCTTAAAAAAATCAAATGGATAAAGTACCAGAGCAGAAGTCGAAAAATACTTTGTTTAGATGATCAATTTCACCTTTCCCTGTGAATAGGGGTTCCTTGGTCAACATTTCAGCCATTATGCAACCCACTGACCACATGTCAACTGCTATTGAATATTGCTTTGCTCCAAGAAGAAGTTCAGGTGCCCTGCAATGTAAAAGTAACACTGAATAAGTTTAAAACATATAGTTACCCTGATCCAGAACATTAAAGACATCATTTCAAAGCACAAAATAAATTAAACATGTAAAATGTAGCTTACCTGTACCACAAAGTAACCACCAGAGAGGTATGTGGCTTCAATGGGCTACTATATTGGCGTGACATCCAGAAGTCGCATACTTTCAACTCTCCCTTGTTGTTGAGAAGAATGTTTGATGTTTTCAAATCCCTATGAAGCACCCAATTATCGTGAAGATACTTGACACCTTCCAAAAGCTGTAGCATTAAGCATTTGACTTCACTTGTACTGAAAGGCTGCTTCATTGCCTGTGTCACCCCCTTGAGATCATGTTCCATGTATTCCATCACCATGAAAACACTATCAAGGTTCCCCGTCACAACTTCTTTAACTTTTACAATTGAAGGGTGATCAAAAGACATAAGAATGTTCATCTCCCTCAATGATGTCAGAGGAACACCACATTCTTCCAAGTACCTGTCTCTTCCAACATCCATCTTCACTTTCTTCAACGCCACAAATTCTCCAGTCTTCTTGTCCCTGGCTTTGTACACTTTACCATAGGTTCCTTCGTTGATTTCATTGAGTCTTTCATACTTGAACACACTTCTACAACCCTCTACCATATTAATCCTCCTTTGGGTAATAGTTGTGGGCTCATCAATCCAACCATCAGTTTGCTCCGTATCATTAACACTGGCATTTTATCCCCTGTATCATCAACATCCATGGCATCATTTTGCAATTCATGCTCGGAAGTAAAGCTGAAATTGTAGCTCTTTCATCCGATAGAGGTGAACTAGATCTATCTCTATCTGAGACTTCTCTCTGGCACCCCTCTCTCTCAATGGAATTTGTTCTGCACACAATTTCTCCACACATGCCTTCATCATCAACCAAAGTGGTATCCCTTGGAGAATCATCATCAGATGCCCACCGGGACATGGCTATATTCTGTGCATTAGGAAGCTCTTCCTCCTCTACTTGGTCTTGCTCTTGGCCATAACTCCCATCTTTCTTTGGAGGCAATGAAGAAGACTGAGGAGCTGGATACTCAGATTCAATACCATCAACTGATCCTCCATCCACACGATCCTCATCTACCACAAGCTCTCATCCTCCTTTGAAAGAACTTTTAATGGCATCCTCATCTGAAATAACATTTAAACCCTGAGTACTGATCCTTTCAAAAACCATGTTCTTCAGAGAAATCCTCGCTTCTTTCTCCTCTGTGTCCCATACAATAGGAGAAAACCTCCTCTTCTTCTCTAGAGGCAACTGAACCCCATCTTCATTCCCTGATATCTCACCTTCCTCATACCTCGGGGAATCACCAAAGGCATTAAATTGCCATAATTCCCCGCATTGTCACTCTTCATCTCTACAATTAAACCCACCTCTTTTAAAATAAAAACTACGCACTCTTGTTGAGCTATGATACCCATTTTTCCGTACCACACCACGATCACCACCCCGCCTCGACTCATCAAAATAACCACCGCCACCACCCCTTCTCCAAGACACATCGAGCCGCCTTGCTGCCATATTATTAACAACCACAACACACAACTCTTCTCAATATAAAAAATCACAAGGAAACAAACAAAACAACTTCTTTCACAGATATCCAAACACAAACCCTAATCAATTTTTTTTAACAAAACCCTGGGTATACAAAATCTATTAAGCAAACAAACAAGTATTTGAACAATTTGCAAGCAAATTAACAAAATAATTGAAAAGAACGAGTTTCGTTGGAAAAATCACAAATCGAAACTTTAGATCGTCATTTTTCTTTTCTATTTTTGGTTTTGACGGTGTCTCTTCTTGAAAGAACGCAGGTAATCAAAGATCTTACCAGAGAGAGACACAAAAGCAAAGCCGCTTTGATCGGAAGCGAAGAAAAGAGATGAAAAAAGAGGGGACAGGATGGAAACCACGTTTACGCGTCTTCGTGCGATGGTGGTGGTTTTGGTCTCCGCTCAGGATTGAAATGTTTTATTATATAAAGAAAGAGTGAAAGACCACATAGATGGCCCGTGCAAAGCCGCTGGCCATGTCAAATTTTTATTAACGTAAAAATAAAGTCTGGGAATGAAGAAGCAAGAAAAGTTTAAAATCCGAGTTATTTATTTGAATAGTCTTAATAATTTTGATTACTTTAATCATGTATTAAAAAAAATAAACAACCATAAAAAAATGTTAATTACTAATAAAAAATAAAAAAATTCTTATCAATATTAGAAAAAATATCCTTTAAATATTTTTACAAGTTCTTAACTATTATGTTTGTTCTTAACTATTATGTTTGATAGTAAAGTTAAAATAAAATGAGAATGGGATAATCTCATAAAAAATAAAAATTAAATAAAGTTTAATTATCAATAAAATAAATATTGAAGGAAAAAAAAATAATAATTTTGATATAAAAAATAAAAAATTAATTTGAGTCATTACAATAAATTTATAATCTAGTTATAAGACCAAAATAACTATACACATAAAAAGTTAAATAAAATAATGAAGATTAATTTTCAAGCAAACTAAATTATAAAAAAGCAATTTGATTAACTTGCAACCCATGATATGAAATCAAGATAATCTCATAAAAATATAAAAAAAATGATTGAAAAAAAAAACTAGGTTAACCTAATTAATTTGACTAACTTGCAATTCATGATATGAAATTAAGATAATCTCATAAAAATATAAAAAAAATCATGAAGCTCAAGATCTAGTAACCTGATATAAAATAATGAAATTAAAAATAAAAATTTAAAAGGACCTCGGAAAACCAAAGTTAAATTAAGTTGATCATTGAAACTCATGACCCAAGTCATTAAACTGAGATTACCCTATCAAAAGCAAACATAAAAAATCACAAATTAAAATTTTTAATTATTCAAAATTAAAAAATAAATAATAATTAAAATAAAAAGGATCAAATCCGGTATAAAAACTAAATAAAAGAAAATAATGAGAGACTAAATTAACAAATAATATAAAAAAAGATAAAAAATTAACAATCAAAAGAGAAGGGAACAAATTGAATATAAAACTAAATGACATAAAATGTGAGAGGTGAAATTGAAAAAAAAAATATAATATAAAAAAATGGAATCAGATTGAATATAAAAACCAAATAAAATAAAATATTGCCAAATAAAATTTTAAAAAAAATCAACTTAAAAATAAATAAAAATAAACTAAATAACAATAAAAAAAATAATTACCAAGATTAATACAAATACAGCACGACAAAACACATTTATTTATTGAAAGGGTTAACGTGAAATCCAAAGTGTTGAGGGAAAAATAGAAGGACAGAAAAATTTATCAATAAAAATTTGATTATTGCTCTATCGTGCCTTGACTTCTCACCACTAGGAAGAAAAAAACGACATGATTCTAACATCATCCTAGAAAGCAGTACTTGATTGTCAGGAGACACTGCACATGCCATCTAAAGAGCGTGGTCGTTTTTTATTTGTTGGCGTGTTATTTACTTTTATTTTTTATTAAAATTTGTCTTTTATTAAAAACATTAAATCATCACTCATTCAAATTGATTATAACAAAAAATTTCATAATAAAAATATATATAAAAAAAACCGTTAGAAGTTATTTTTCCTCAAGAATAGTTTAGTCATTTCATTTTATAATAAAAACTTTTAAAAAATAAAAAGCCTCAAGATCCCATTTTTATTTTTTTAAATAATATTTAAATTATTTTACTGTATATCTAAAATATTAAGAACCAACTTATATTTGATTAATATAATAATAACAAATGTATCTTAAAAAAAATCATTTTACTTCCAATAAATAGTTAAATAAATTTCTTTAAAAGAACAAAACGATTATTTTACTATATTATTCTACGGTAACAAGTTTCTTAATGCACGGTGATTAATAAATTTCTCTTAGGTTTTTTATTTTTTTTAAAGAAAATTGGAGTCGATTCCAACTCTCTCGTTTTCTTATCTTTTTAACGAATGACTATTATTATATAATACTCTAAATGGTGCAAGAACATTACTATTTTCCCATCAAAATCACTGTGGATTATAACAGTAATCTATAATGTTTTTTTTATCTTTTTTTTTCTCTATTTTTCCAAAATCATTTTTCTTTTTTATTTCAACTTTCCTTTATTTTCTTTTTTTTCCATTTATTTTTTTAAATTATTTTTGTTGATTTTACTTTTTAAATATTGAGCTGGTTAAAAATTTCACTTGTAATTTTTTTCCTTTAAAATACTTTGGATTTTTGTGGTGTTTTCTCACATAGTTTTTTTTTTTTTACAAAATTATATTTATCAATTTTATTCTTTTTTAATATTTTAGTTTTGTAATTTTTTATTTAAAATACTGTTGATTATTACAATGTTTCTCAACATGATTTTTTTCATCATTTCTTCAAAATTATTTTTTTATTTTATTTTTTATATTGAACTGGTTAAAAATTACAGTTATAATATGTAACGAAAGCACTATAACTTTCCTTACAAATTATTGTGGATTGTTATAGTGTTTTTTTCCACATGGTTTTTTTTCTTATTTTGTTATGTTTTTTCCTAAAATTGCCTTTGTTAATTTTATTTTTTAAATATTAAGCTGATTAAGAATTGCAATTACAAGTAAATATAAGTTTTATTTTGTTATGTTTTTTTTCTAAAATTGCCTTTGTTAATTTTATTTTTTAAATATTAAGCTGATTAAGAATTGCAATTACAAGTAAATATAAGTTTTTCCTCACAAAACACTATGGATTGATACAGTTTTTTCTCATATGGTTTTTTTCTAATTTCTTTTGTGTTTTTATTTTTTGTAATATGTTTTTTCAAAATTATCTTCGTCAATTTTTTTAAAAAATATTATGTTGGTTATAATTTAAATTTTTAATAAAGTTTAATTATGTAAGGAAAGCATTGTAACTTTTCTTATAAAACATTGTGGATTGTTACAGTGTCTCTCCATATGGTTTTTTTTTAAATTATCTTTGTCAATTTTATTTTTTTAATATTAAGTTATATGAGAATTACAATTACAAGTCATTACAAATAAGATTAAATCATGTGAGGAAGCACTATAGCTTTTATCACAAAACACTATGAATTGCTATAGTGTTTCTAACATAATTTTTTTTTCTTTTTTGTGTTTTTTATTTTTTTTCTAAAATTATCTCTGTAATTGAGTTAATTAAAAATTTAGCTTTGTAATTTTTTTCTTTAGAACATGGTTAATTGTCGCAATGTTTTTCCCAATGATTTTTTTATGATTTTTTTCCAAAATTATTTTTATCAATTTCTTTTTTTGAATGCTGAGTTGGTTAAGAATTATAATTGCAATAAAGTTAAATCATATAAGAAAAACGTTGTAGTTTTTCTCACAAAACACTGTGGATTGATATAATATTTTGTTAAATAGTTTTTTATTTTATTTTATTATGGAAAGTACTATAGTTTTCCTCATAAAATATTGTCAATTGTTACAATGTTTTTTCTCGTGGGTTTTTCATCATTCTAAAATTATCTTTGTTGATTTCCTTTTTAATATTAAGTTGGTAGAGAATTTAATTTTGTAATTTTTTTTTACTTTTTATTAACAAAAACACTAAATCATATAGCGAAAGTACTGTATCTTTCCTCACAAAACACTGTGGATTGCTACAAATCATTTTGTTTAGTCTCTAAGTTTTTGATCACCAACACGACCTTTATTTTCGTTATGAAATATTTGCTTCATCGTACCTTTAGTTTCTATTACTTATCTAGCATTTTTTCGTTATGAAATATTTGCTTCATCATACCTTTAGTTTCTATTACTTATCTAGCATTAATTCACAATTATAACACTATTAAGTACATTTGTTTTATAAGCCCACAACAACGCGCGAACATGTCATCTCGTGTGTGTGTGTGTCTATATTTTCATCAGCATCTTTTATATATTTATGTTTCTAGTACTTTATTTTTGTCATTCAATTAATTTGAGCTACTTGAAGAATAAAATAAAACTCATAGTTTAATTTAATTTTTTTGCTTTATTTGCTTTAAACAAAAGTTAAACATAATTTGCACTTGAGTTCATGGCTTAGTGGGATAATGGACTTGTTCTTTTTCTCTGCACTCGGGTTTGATTTTCTCTGTGCATGCCTATCATTTCCGTACTGTTTTACTTATCTATTGGGCTTGTAAGATGTTTAGTAAGTCCAGGGATTAGTCATGATATGCATAAGCTAGCCTGAGCAATCCGAGTTATATATATAAAAAAGTTAAACATAATTTTATATATCAGCTTAAACTTTTGTTCAAAGTTCCTCAAAACTAAAAAAAAAAACTTTTTCTTTAAGATCCCATGGGACAATTAAAGGTACAATTCATGATCGAGTACTATCTCACCCAGATTATGTGAACCACTTGTTTATTGGTTCAAACAATAATTATACAATTATGAATATTTCAAATCTTTTAGATTTGTATATGTATCAGAGGTTGTATGGTTACATTCGACGATCATTTATAAATACCAACAAAAAAGTCA